GCAAAGAAGTGGTAAACTTGGAGGACCTGATCCAACACACGACTAAATGCAAATACAATGTCGACAAAAATGTAAAGAAATGCAAGAAATGCTTTTGCGAGCAAAAGTCTGGTCACGACTGCATTAAATCGTTGCTTGAATTGAACCGTAAGGCCAACGAAGAGATCGATGCCTTAAAACGCAAACCAATGGCCACTAGTCCTCCGGTCAGACAACCGGCACCTCAGCCACCGATGCCTGTGGTCTCCGCACCGGTGCGTCCGATGAGTCTGTTCAACACGGGTGGGGCCGCCAGTGCTCTTCGGGAACAGCAATTGATGCGCGAAATTAATGAATTGAAAACCGAGAAAATGAACTTTTTGAAGACCATTCAAGACCTGTCCAACACTGCGCCGACAGTCACTCCCACTAACAATACTGTCATTAATAATAACCAAAGATTATCACAACCGGAGCCAAAACCTCTCTTCACGTCGTCATCGGAGGTATACTTTTGTGTAATCTATTTGTGAAATGTTTGATAAGAAATTATTTTTAATCAATGTTTTAATTGAATAATAAAGATCTCAGAGCAGGAGATATTCAATTCGTGTCGCAAACAGTTGTGGTCACCGGAAGTGTTGCAAAACGAGATGAACAAAGAAGTGACACAGAAGCTGATGACTATAGTGAGGGCTCAGATCAAGGAGTATAACAGCATTTTCGTCGTTTGCAAGAATATCACCGAAAAGCTGAACGAAGAGTTTGGCCACCGATGGCACTGTTTGGCCGACCATAAGAATGGCCACAAATCGTACTTCACGTACGAACCCGGATATCTTATTAACATTAAATTCGGTCTATTATTCTTCGAGATCTATAAAACACAATTCGTATGTCTTTTTAATTGTCTTATATTAATGTATAAATCATTCGTCAATACAAGTCAGTTATTAATGCCAGATATTTAGATCGAGGTTATTGTTTAGGTAACAAAAGCAAAAGCATTTAAAACAATACACAACTTAGCATTTTTGTGGTCATGGTCACACATGAATAACCGTGATATTTTACTGAGAAAATAACTCACATAATCTCTTGTGACACAATTATTTTGTTTGTCCGCAGCTAAGCGTACAGACAATGCGACAGCGATTCAAATCGGGTAAAATCAAGCGCGAGATTCAGATACTGCGGACAGATATGAAGCAGAGTATGATTGCGGACGTGAAGAAAATCACGTTCGCCGCCGTCGACAAGTCCGACACATTGACGGCCGTCTCGTCGGAGATCAAGACACAGATGGAGAAGCGCTATCCGCAGCACATGTGGCAGTGTTTCATATTTGGCTACTTCGGTGTGTTTGGCATTCATCACACGTGCGGCACATTCATCAGCTTCGATGTCGGTCAGCTCACTGTCACACTGTTTCAGGCAAACACCAGCTAATGGAAATGTAATGTATGTTTGTCTTTGTGTGTCGCCTATCCTTATCGTACGTACAGGTGTTGAGTGTTTGCCATACGATTGCTGTACACTTCCTCATCCATTGATTCAATGTGTGGTATATTTTCAGTGATAATCTATAGTCAATAGAAACGTAAACTCAATTTTTGTGCCTTTTTAAGCATATATTGATATTTTTGATCGATTACTGTATTTTGTGGTAATAAATGAACGCCAATTATATAACACAATAATTTTAAATGTAATGATTGATTGTGACTTAATTTACATTTATAAAATAGACTATAAAATAAATCATTATTTAATAGAGATTTATATAGATTAGTTAAATATATGAAGGTCAGTCAATTGAGTCAGACTATTACTGTATATGAACAGTAATAATTAATTTAATAGTGTATTATTTAATTACTTTATCAGCTATTTACCGAGAGTGAGTCAGTATTTCTAAAATAGCATGCATGCGATAATTTATTGCTAACATTTATTATCACACAAAGTGAATAAAAATAATTTATATTATTACATATTTATGCTTTTAAATAATATTTGTAATGTTTTTATATTAATATTTATAATTAATTAAATTAATTATTAATCGATTATATTTAACAATAAATATATAACTTTTAAAACCCAAATAATTATTTATTTATTTTCTACTAAATCCATGCTTTGCTTATTTGACTGAAATAAATACAATAGACATTAATTAATCTATAGATAAATTATTTTTATTTAAATATTTATATACTTATATACATTTTGATAGTGTAATGGATAAGCGGTTATAAAAATATCTAAAACATAAATTAAAACCCAGAACATAATTTCTGTTTAATTAACAAATAAACTGAACAATTAATTACCAGATGTTTGTTAAATAATAAATCTCTGTATTTAAATACAATATAATTAGTTAATAATTCATAAATATATAATAAACTTGTTATGAAATTTAAAAATAGGGTAAAAAATAATAGCCATAGGAATTGTGCAGAACATAAAAAACATGTCAATAACTGTAATATATTTATTGTATTTGACAACCGCTTTGGTTCTTGGGATCGGTTTCGCTGTATTTAATCGGCTTTTCGTTAACCATAGGTATGGGCTCTTCGGGCTTATCGCCAGACTCTCCCTTTTTGTCCCCTTTTTTGTCCGCCTTTTTGCGCTGTTTTGTAAATTCAATGCATATTTAATGTAAATAAATTGACAATACTTTGAAAACTCAATTACCGGATCAACAAAAGTGACATTTTGCGCCAAATTAAACGCCGCGTACGACTCAGCGGTCCAGAGCTCGTGGAGTGGAGGCATCGAAAACTCCTCGGGTGTCACCAAACCGTGTGTGGCTTTCAGCTCCAGTACCGGACAGTCTTTGGGTACTGTGTCGTGAAAACTAAACCACAAAACAAATCAAATATTAACACAAATACCACACAAAACCAGTGAATTATTGCCAAAACGCATACATGAATCCATTTTCTCGGACGCACTTGTCTTTCGTGCGCTTCACTAATGGCTGTAATTTGCGAAAAAAGAGGTGTTCATCAATCTTAGCGCCTGTGCCCCCCATTGCCGGTGCTTTCAGTTTGCGATACTCTTTGCATAGTTTCATAGAAATGTCGTAAAACTTTTCGCTCTCTTCGAGCGCACGGATGGCTTCCCCGCACTTCTCCTGCTCTAAAAGGCTTTCCCCTAAATAACAGAAAGCCTTCACAAAACAAAACAAAACAAAATAATATTACAAACAAATTGTGGCCAAAATTAACGCAAAAATCATACGTAAGACTCATAGAAAGCGGACTTTAGCTGAAAATAAGTCATCCATTTGGCGACTTTGGTCGGGTCTAAGGCTTTGACAGCTCCTGCGGCCGACAGAAACATCTTAGAGGTCTCGTTGGCCAGAGCCGACACCAGAGTCGGGTTGTGCTTCAATTCGATGGCCCGCGCGATCGTCACCTCCTGGGCCTCCGCCTGACACTGCAGTATATAAGCGGTGATCACACGGGGGTCGAGATCGGCTCCGGCGACAAAACTTCGCTCCAGAAGCCGTTCGCACCTGTCGTTTGGGATCAGTTTCGCAAAAACAAAACAAACAGTTAACTCAATGCCGTAATTGTCTTAACGGAAATAAAATACTGACCACTCGTTCTGAATGGCGGTCAAAACTCCGGCCGCTTTACGCAAACACTTGTGACACTCTTTGGCCGCTTCCATATCGATGTCGGGTTTGGCGGCCAATTGGGCGCAATGTTTGGTCAGCCAAATGGCGTATTCATAGCATATGGATATCAACTCAAACACCGAGTCCTGTCGTACGCACGGAATCGCACCTAAAATATAGACATAAAAGCGAAACACAATGAGATAATGAGTGTCGCGGGTGGGGAAGGGTTGGAAGGGGTCGGTAGGGGTCGGGTGTGTATACCTAACAGACTGTCCGTCCACTTGAACTTAATATAGTGTCTAAGTTTGGAGCTGTCGGTCGGGCCGTGGTTTGGGTCAAAGCTGTGATTGAATACAAAGCCCAACAACAGTGAGAGATAGTGTCTGAGCTGTTGGTCGACCGCCTGGGCATCGCTGGACGGATCAGTCATGAGGTCGAGTGCCATGAGTCGGGCCGACTTGAGTCGGTCGCAGAGTTGGATGGCCTGCGGCTGAGCCGAGACCAGAGACAACGCAAACGTCTGACTCGTCGTACACTTCAACGCATTTCTGTGGAACCAATGAGACATCGCTTCTTCTGCTGCTTCGGCGGTAACCACACGTCTTATGACTCAATGACTTCGCCAATGATTTTGGGCACAGATTTTGATTAGTTTTTCAAAAGTTTTTTCTTAATTGAGTTTTTTTGGTCACGATTTGAAGCGATAATTGAATTGAGTTTTCAATTGTTTTGTCAAATGATTGCCAAATCAATGAGTAATGAATTGTTTATGTTTTTTTGTTCATAAATTACGTCCGCTTTTTGTTTGGCATTTAAAATGTTTTATTCAATAGTACTGTAAATTGTTTTTAATTATAATTAATGCAATGATTTAGTGATTATAAATCCTGTGTTTGATTTAATTTTACCGTTAATTAGACACCGATTTGTTTGCTTTGTTTTTGTTATTTTATTTAATTGTATTTTATTTTTGAATGTAAGTGTATATCAATTATTATACGACAAATCACTTTAAACACTGCATAATTGCAATACATTTATGTCGTGCAGTGAAGCAAATAGTTTGTCAATAGGGGGTCTCAATAATGTTACAGAATATTCTTGTGGTTTAAATGTTGAAGAATTATGCATTTTATTGTAATAATTATTTATTTTATTATATTTCCCGTTGAGATTAATTAATTATAATTGTTTCGCAATAGTTATATTTTTTCATTTTTTATAATACGGTAATAATGTTTTATTTTCATAATTTTAAGTTCAAATTTAAATTTATTGCACATAGTAGTACTATGATAGTACATATTTGATAATAAATTATTTTGTTACCATATTATTAACACGCTAAGTTATTAAAAATATTTATTATAGGTTAAACTTTAAATTACAAATAATATTTTATAACTTTAATAATTTATATCATATTTATAAAATAGTTACCTGAATGTTTGATAGAACTGTCAATTTTGGCCATGGCCAATTGCCAATTCAATTATAATGTACATGTATTGACAGCATTTATATAATATAGCTCAGCGTGATATGCGTTACCAATTATTAGTGACATTTATTAAGGATAGTATATAAAAATCCTAAACACATGGTTATATTAATTATTAATTCATAAATTGATAACTCATAAGAATTTCATTTACAAAAGGGCATTCATTAAATAACTTATTTGTTTGAATGTTTATTCAAATACTTATGACATATAGTTTTGTACCGAAAATATCAAAGGTTTTAGTGAATGAAAGGCTAAAACATATTTTGTAAAGAATTTATACAATAATGTCATTTAATTAATAAATATTTTTGTCCTTTTTGTTAGCGTACTATTGGATACATTTGCAACACATGTTGTCACACATTGTTTGTATTGATTACATTGGGATAAAAATTACATTTTTAATTATAATAAACGCAACGATAGTGTGTTTGTGTTACTTAACATTATTGTATTGACATTTTACGATATTAATATTCATCTATATAGTCTATGGGACAATGAAACCCAGTTTAGTTTTGTTAGGTTAACTGTTACTTTAGACATTTAAAGCTACTACTGTATAAATTGTATAAATTATACAGTATAATTGTTTTTTATTATACATGCGACTTTGTAAAAACAACTTTTAAATACAATTTTTAATTAGTTGTATTACATGTTTACATGTATGGAAATATTCTATCTCTTTGATTAATTTGAATACATTTCATACTATTTATATATTATTTTCAATGTTTATTTGATACTTTACTGTCCCTTTAATAGTTACTTATTGTATTGAATACAATACTATAAAAGCATGTAATAAATGACATTTAGATTGAAAAAAGTTGTCATCCCTTTTCATAACACTCTAAACGCTGAAATAAATGGTTATTTAAGTTACAAACAGCGCATCTATTGATCAGTGCATAAATTGAGCGCATAATAAATCTTTGTACTTTAAAGTACCAATTTAAAATTTCTATTAACAATACACTTGATACATTTTAGTTGGAGTGTTTATTCAACGAAAAATAATAGCCCATTAATGCATCGGTAATACAATGTAATAGAAATGTTTATAAAAATATAATACTTATATATTTCAGTAATAATTTATGAAAAATAGTTACTAATATTTTTCTTTATGTAATTTAAATTAATTTTATGATTATTTTTGGCATTCATTTGAATTTTAGTTCTGCTTTTTTGGTCAACACAATAGAAGTGAAAGTAGAAAAAATAGTTTATAACTATTTAATGGGATATTATACAGATCTGTGTATCAGTTTATATAATGTACAGTATATTGTAATGTATTATATACTGGTATAAAAGTAAAACGATAATTTATTTTATATTTAATATAATGATTGTTGAACAACGGGCACCGGTATTATTAATAATCGGTGTGCAAACAATAACTGTTGGTACAACTATTTTGACCATAATATGCTAAATACACGCTATTATTATTGGCCATACACTTACTTAACGTTAGACACTTACCTCCCAGTCAAATATATTCCTGGAATATAGTTTTGGGGGGAAAGATATTTTATCTTCCTGAAAACAGAGAAAATAAGGTTAAATGTAATCAAACGATGACCAGTCATTCTATATAAATAGTTTTCTTTTCTAACTGAATACATGTATCTCAATCTAGTTAAACATATTATGTCAAAAGATTTTGTTAATTCTATTTAATTGATTTAATTTAAATTAATTGATAAATCATTTTTTGAACAAAACTTTAAAAAGCGCGAAATATTTGGACTTAATTAGCATTTATGAATACATTAATTGCATCTAAATTGATATCTTTGGGGAAATTCTTATATTTTGGTGGATTATACAAATAAGGAATCTTCCCGAAAGTGTCTAACATTACACTTAATGTAGAAGTAAAGTACATTATATGTATTTTGTGTATATCCATATTCTATACTCTCTATTGTCTATTAAGTTTTTATTTCATTATATATTATAATATTATATTCCATTATAAATACAAATAAATTTTTATAGCCTATAATAGTCTCGCAGAATATACTTATTATTATCCAAATATTTTCATTTTAATATTTATGATTATATTACAAGAGATCAATAAATATACGCCAATATATTTTATTCACAGCAAAACTCTGTATATATTTTTGTATTACATTTGCAAATGCTATTTCTTAAGGTTACGTACGTTTGTGTAATTAATTCATAATTATTTCACATATGCATTGAAATACAATTATTTAATACTTATGTTAATCATCAGACATACATATACTGTACGGACAGACGTATACCTATTAGACCGCAAATAATTTGCAAATTTATTGCAAAACGCGTTAGCAATCTGTCAAACGTATGGCTGAAACAAAGTGCATATCAAATGGACAAATGTGTCCGACATATAAGTGATGTCTCCTTCAATGACAACTCCTTCAACACCTATAATAACGGACACAAAACACGATAAAAAAGACAATAAAAATCTCTTCACATGTCGTCAACGATAGGAAAGCAAACGATGCGTTAGTTTTCCGTTTATGGCATTAAAAGACACTTCACTGTAAAGGCGATGAAAAAACTTATTGCAAACACTAATGGAAATATTTCTTTGTCGCAAAAAATTACATGTTATATGACTTATATATCTATCTGTGTATATAATGTAAGGATATGTTTAACCTCTCTATGAGTGAAAAGTTTTTATTTTATTGTTTGGCACAGAGTTTGGACACATTTCGGGGAAATGTCTAATCTTATAGGACTTCTGTATAATAAAGTCTTACAAAACTTCTCACTTTTTTGGTAGCTATAAAGTAGTGAACGAGTAGTAAATCATTGATGGGTTTGTGTTTTATTTTGTACTGACTTTTAGCGCCTCACGTCTCGACTAGAAATAAAAGTTAATAAAATGAAATCGGATTTACGTTTATTGGAAAGTGATTGTAAAGTTCTGTCAGCTCTCGCACTGTAACCCCGGGAGAGCTTTTGTCACATAAACACTATAAATAAAAAATGTCAATGCATTTGAACAAAAAATAATAAATGTCACAGGGTGTAAATTATTTTTAATTAACTAATTGCTAATTAAATGTAAAATTAATATACAGTGAAAATGACTAAATATACATTAAATTATTTATACCTAATATAAATACCAAAGTCGTGTATAGCATACAATCGTTAACAGTTTAATAGATATATTATTTTATTCAAACATTATTATATAATAGACCTAGATGTCTTTCAAGCCGCCCCCTAGACATTATATGTATAAACTTTTCTAAATGTTAAGTGTTTTTGAATGTTTTTCCACTTTTGGTAAATATTTTGCGAGAATATATTTTGTGTAAATATTGCATAAAATATAAGCGCATAAAGAAAATTTATATTAAAGTATAGTATTGTCTGCGAAAAGGATATCGCATTTATGGCATTTTAAAATATAATTTAGCATAAATTTTCTAGACATCGGATATTTGTTTCTCACAAAAAATACAATTTGTTTGAATACAATATTCCCGGAGAGAGGTGACAGAACTTTACAATCACTTTCCAATAAACGTAAATCCGATT